CACACATCAAAGTTAAGGACACCATGTCCTTAACTTTTATAATGCACACATCAAAGTAAAGGACACCATGTTCTTAACTTTTTGACTGCACACATCCAAGTTAAGGACACCATGTCCTTAACATTTTCACTGCACACATCAAAGTTAAGGACATCATGTCCTTAATATTTTCACTACACACATCAAAGTTAAAGACACCATGTCCTTAACGTTTTCACTGCACACATCCAAGTTAAGGGCACCATGTCCTTAGCTTTTTCACTGCACATATCAAAGTTAAGGACACCATGTCCTTAATATTTTCATTGCACACATCCAAGTTAAGGACACCATGTCCTAAAGTTTTTTACCTTAACTTTTACAATGCACACATCCAAGTTAAGGACAACTTGTCCTTAACTTTTACAATGCACACATCAAAGTTAAGGACACCATGTCCTTAACTTTTACAATGCACACATCAAAGTTAAGGACACCATGTCCTTAACTTTTATAATGCACACATCAAAGTTAAGGACACCATGTCCTTAACTTTTATAATGCACACATCAAAGTAAAGGACACCATGTTCTTAACTTTTTGACTGCACACATCCAAGTTAAGGACACCATGTCCTTAACATTTTCACTGCACACATCAAAGTTAAGGACACCATGTCCTTAACATTTTCACTGCACACATCAAAGTTAAGGACACCATGTCCTTAACTTTTTCACTGCACACATCAAAGTTAAGGACACCATGTCCTTAACTTTTTCACTGCACACATCAAAGTTAAGGACACCATGTCCTTAACTTTTTCACTGCACACATCCAAGTTAAGGACACCATGTCCTTAGCTTTTTTACTGCACACATCAAAGTTAAGGACACCATGTCCTTAATATTTTTATTGCACACATCCAACTTAAGGACACCATGTCCTAAAATTTTTAAAATAAACTAATAAACTCTTTTTGATTATTTACCTGTTGTTGTCGTCTATCTTTATGTTAGTGTATGTTCCCGGATTTTTACTTTTCATCATATACAAGTATGAAAACAATAATTCATAATTCTCTTCAGGAGTTCCTCTTATTAAAACTGAAGCACGTTGAATAGCACGCCACGCCTTGTGATAACCAATGTCTAGTCTATGCAATTTTTGCATTTCTGCCATAACAAAGGCTGGTGTAACTTCAAACCTTGGGTCTCGAAGATTGTCGATAATGTAACCACTAATCAACTTTGAAGTTGCATGCCTTTGATCAGTTTTCATAGTGTTAACTGAGCAGTCATAATTTTTCTCAATCTTTACTATCTTGAATAGTGTTGAATCTTTAATTCTGAAAGCACACATGCATCACCCACACCTATCATCATTGCATTTCAACGAATATCTTGTTGAACTTGATCTAACAACCTTGAATTCAAAATGTCCTTTAATTGCTATATTGGAAAAATAGTTAATTATGCTTTTCTTTTGGTCAAATATTGATCCCACTTTTATTTCATCCAACGAAGCATTTTCTCTTAATATCGTAGTTGGGGATTCTTTTTGTTTTGAATTTGAGCTTCGTCTAGTTAGTTGAGTAAAGGTTTTTTCAGCAACTTCTTCTATTACCGGTGCACTCTCTAAGACTTGAATACCCAAAGCTTGTTCGTTGTCAATCTTTATAATGTTTTGTCCTTCCACTTGAATAGAATCAAATGTTTGAAGCACCTCTTCAGTTATTGGTTGAGCTTCAACCATATTTATTTCCATTATCTGTTGGCATTTGTCTTGATTGTCTTGTTGAGTTTCTGTATTGACATGTTCAAAGGTGCTTGTAGAACCAACAACTCTTTCCGAAATATCAACAATGAAACGACAGCCCTTGAAGAGTGAATGACTTTTTAGTAACTCTATACATGTGTGAAGATCTAAATCTTTGGATACAAGCATTCCCTTGCTTGTTCCCAGATTGATATCAAACCATATCATTGCTTCAAATTTGTCTCTATCCAATTCAATAACTTCAAAGACCTGGTTAATGAAATCTTTAAATCGAATTGCCTCAGGTACTAGAACAAGCTTTGTTTGATGATCAAGATACTTATAGTCTGCAATCCATCTACCATTAAAAGCAACTATAATACATATTGTATCCATCCTGCAAGCCAAGAAAATGGGAAATTCAGGACATATTTATACAACAATCGTGAAGTTAAGGACATGATGTCCTAAACTTTATCAATACAAGTTGCAAAACACAGGACACTATGTCCTTAATATTTAGAACAACAGTCATGAAATTAAGGATATCATGTCCTAAACTTTATCAATACAAGTTGCAAATACATGACACTATGTCCTTAATATTTACACAGTAGTCATGAAGTTACGGATATCATGTCCTAAACTTTATTAGTACAAGTTGCAAAAACAGGACACTATGTCCTTAATTTTTACACAGTAGTCATGAAGTTAAGGACATCATGTCCTAAACTTTATCAGTACAAGTTATAAAAACAAGACATTATGTCCATAACTTTGATATGTGCAGTCAAAATATTAAGGATATGGTGTCCTTAACTTGGATGTGTGCATTGTAAAAGTTAAGGACATGGTGTCCTTAACTTTGATGTGTGCATTGTAAATGTTAAGGACAAGCTGTCCTTAACTTTGATGTGTGCAGTAAAAATATTAAGGACATGGTGTCCTTCACTTTGATGTGTGCAATAAAAATGTTAAGGACATGGTGTCCTTAATATTTAGAACAACAGTCATGAAGTTAAGGACATCGTGTCCTTAACTTTATTAATACAATTTGCAAATACATGACACTATGTCCTTACTATTTAGAACAACAGTTATGAAGTTAAGGACATCGTGTCCTTAACTTTATTAATACAAGTTGCAAAACACAGGACACTTTGTCCTTAATATTTTTCAGAACAACAGTCATGTTAAGGACACCAAATCCTTAACATTATGTCCTCAATATTTACAGAACAATCACAGAGTTAAGGACGCGATGTCCTTAACGTTATCGATATAGAAAAGAAAAAAAAATCAAATTCCTAGCATCTTATTCTTCAGTAACGAAATAAAAATCCACACAAATACACAAAAGCATATAGAGATATCTGAAACTTTAGAACTTACTGTAATTTTATGGTGAATTTTGGACGAGAAAGTTGAATTCTGAACTTAGACTGGAAGTTTGAAATCGGAAGAGAAGCTTCTGCAATTTTGGACGATCACAACAATTCTCTGCACGTAAGTTTGAGCTGCTGCTGATCATAAATAATGAGCGTATGTATCAGCGAAATCCTATATAGCAGAAGGGTATTTTCGTTCGGGCGGGTAAAAGTTTATTAAAGCAGTGGCTAAATACTAAATACATTTAAAATAGTGACTTAAAAGTAAATACATGTGTTATTACTGGCTATCTGTGCACATCGCCCCCCATTGTTCATAGGCCCGGAAAAGGCTCAATGGATAGCAGCCCAGACATTAATGTCGTATTGGCCGAAAATTGAATAATAGGGTTTAGAGGGAAAAAGTAAACTCAACAATTAAAAACAAAATAAAAAAAAAGAAATATTACTATTCGAACCAGAGGAAAGACACTCTCTTATCTTCTTCTTCTTCGTGGAATTCCCGCAAAAGCAAGAAAGAAGACGCTATAGTAACCGCGGAAAGAAAGCTTTCAAAAGAAGTGTCGGCTTTGTGTTTGAGTAAATGTCTGAATGGCTCTGCTAAAGCCTTATCCTCTTCAACACTCTCTTCGCCGCATGGCTTCTCGCTTTCTTCTTCACTCTCACTACCATACCCATACTCTTTCCTTTTCCCCTATCTCTCTTTCTCGCCCCTCTATTGTCCTTAACACCAGGTTCCTTTCTCTCTCTGTCTCCCTCCATTATGTAGACTGTATACCTCTCTCTCTATTTATATGTGTGTGTGTATATTTATCTATTTCATTTATGTGTTTAAGTTTTAAAAACATTTTTTTTCTCTTATCTCTTGTTGAATGGGGAAAAAAATTAAATTCTTTGAGGGAAGAGCATTAAGGTTAGCTGAACTTTTTCTTGATATACGTGGTGTCTGGGTGAGCTTGTACGCACATCGGCTAATTGCATATGTACTCGATAATTTTTTCCACCAACAATTGGACATATGAGAGGAAATCACCTAGTGTTTTGCCTCTACTGGATTTGAACCTGAGACCTAATGGTTCTCGATCCACCACTAGGCCACACCCTTAGTGTCGGGCCAACTTAGGTTAGCTTCATTTTTGTTCAAATGAAGGGCATTTAATAGCAGGGGTCCCTTTTAGGAAGGGCTATGTTGTAACCATTTGAGGGAAATAATTGATTTTTTTGAGGGATTAATATAATGGTTTGGGTTGGGTGACTTGGTATAATGAAAGCTATTTTGACAACGGGAGCCTCTTTTTGATTTGTTTTTCTTTGGTTTTGCATTTAAAGAAGGGGGAAAAGGGCACCCTTGGCCTTTTTTGTGTTTATCCATTTTGTTTTTTGAACTTTAGTTGCTGGTGTAATATATTTAGTGAAGTGAGTTGTTCGTTGCACACTGACACATGTTCATTTGGTTCTTTATACGCTAATTTTTCTGTATTTTGAAAAACTAGATTATTGTTTCAGAACGGTGGGATAACTTTATTTTTGAGGAATATGAATGTTCTTGGTCAGCTTAATATTGTTAAACAGGAGGCTTTTGGTGCTTAATTTAAAGAAGACAGGAAGTGCTACCCGTTTATTTGCTAGTTAATTTATTTTTTCGATAAGTAATGCAACCCTTTTCTTTGTTTGTAACTATTTGGGGTTTTCAACGTTTGCTTGTTGGGGTTATCTTTTTAAGAAACTTTGTGGACTTGTTTCAGGGTGATTAATAGGCTGAGGAGGCTATCAGATGCGATTTTGATTAGAAACTTGGTGTCTCCAAGAGCTTTTATGTCATCAAGCACTGCTACAGAGGCTTTTCAAGAAAATACAAAGTCAAAAGCTTATGGTTCTGAGCAAATTCAGGTGAATGACTATGATTATATTCATCATGTTGACGTTTTGTTCTTATGTAAGATTGGAGAAAGCAAAGAACTTCTGATCATGCTGGAAAGTGACCCATTTTTTTGGAGTCTAGATAGTGTAGGTCCTTTCTTGAAATCCGAAAGAGGATATCACTCTGTGGCCGAGTGTGTTCCAGTGAGATACTCTCAGTCTGGAGTAATGTACACAAAGATGGGATTATAACTTGATACTGGATTTTAAGTTGGTGGGTGATTCGTTTTCTAATGTGTAAGCACTTTCAAAGACCAAAAGTGATGCATTGACAGGCATTTGACATGTCAAACAGGTACAGAATGCTTGAGAACAGCATGTGGCCCTTGCTATTATCGTACTTAGAACACTATGTATTTAACCTCACAGATAATTAACCAATCTCTGCTAGATAAAATGGATATGTCTGATTTCTGTATTAAGTATTTGATGATATTCTCTCTATTTGAAAATAAAATTGAAAAAAGATACAATAAAATGGTAGTGTCTTAGGATGGAAAATGTTTTATGTGGGGAAGTGTTTTACCTTGGGAAATCTTTTATAGGATCATTTTCCAATATTTAGTTGGGTATAAAATAATAAAGTTGATGAATATGCTGGCAGTCGAAGAGCTAGAGTAACGACCTTGGTCACAAAGGTTTGAAGAGGCAACACTAGGTGAATTCTTCTTATATACCTAAGCTTTCATAGCCAGAGGCCCAGAGCTATGCGGTGCTACGTTGGTGGGAGATAATAGATATAATAGGTACACAATGAATTAGTCAAGGAGTGCACAAGTTGGTCCAGACACAATCATTATTAAAATGAAGTGGATGATAGGGTACGAGGATAGTGTTATGGTAATGTTCCTCTGTATTAAAAGTTGATAACAATCTCTAAGTATTGGTTGAAGGCTTGAAGCAAGTGAATTTTTTCTGAGAGAGGTAATTATATTATGAGTGCAGCACTATGGAAGTGCTGAAACATTTACAGGTGCGCAAAAGCAAAAGAAGAATCCCTTTCTTATAGGGATTCTAAGAGGTTAAGTAGTGATTCTGCTTCAATTATGAATTCCTCCTTACATCAAAAGGAAAATAGAAGTATACAGTTAAATTTGATCTGCTGAATTGAGTTAGCTTTATCTTCTTTTTTTCTTTCCTTAGAAACAATCTACCTCATGTATGTTGTGATTGTATTCCACTACAATGTGCTGCTGCTCCTCTTTCTACATCTTTTCCAGCAATATAGTGGGTCTGAAGCAAGTGAATTGGAGCAAGAGTTGAGATATTTGTGATTGAAAATGACTTCCATTAGTGACGGAAGTCATATTGCTCCTTTTGGTGGAAAATAATTTCCGTTGAGAAAAGATTTTCCACAATTCAGTGTTAGCTAACATTAATTAACTTATTTTCTTCATACCAAACACACCTTAGTTTTTTGATTTTTGAAAATGATCATCCATATTTAAGTGATGTGGTGTTCTACATGTAAGTTATGAAAGAGTGCAATTCTTCCATTTCAATTTTGTTACTTTTGTTTATCTTTTTCGTTTTTCATTTTCATTTTCTTCTTTTACCTTTCTATCCTCTATTTAATCAAGGATATATATGTATTGTTTGCACGTTAATCTGCTCTATCAGTTTATTCTGTAGGTTTAGAGTTGCTTATTACTTGTAACTTAGTTTGACTGGAAAATAACCAACGTTCTCAAAGGCTCATTTAAGGCGCGCTTAAGCCCTGAAGCTCAAAAGCTTAGGGAAGGCGCTTCACCTCGCTTAAGCTGCACTTCAGTGTAAGGCAAGGCACTAAGGCGTGTGCCTCATGCTCATGAGTTCTCTGATGAATCAAGTTGCACTAAACACCAAATATAATCAGAAAATAAGTGCATTAGCAACAATCAAATAGGTGTATTAACTGTTAAGGATAATATTATGAATGTATTTTGTTACTTTGTCCTTGAATTACATATGTATTTTTTTCCCCTTCATTGCACCTTTTTTTATACCAAAACCACATTTTAAGTGCATTGTGCGTTTAAACCCCCAATAGACCTTGAGTGCTTTTTAGAGCTTTTTGCTTTTGACTACACTGAAACAAACATGCATTTTAGGATGATAAGGAAAATACTTAAATTAAAACAACTGCTTTAACAGTTGATGCAACACAGAAATGTCAAATATCTTATTTTGAGCATAAGTATATATGCACAAGTACATGCAGTAGATACATAGTGTCTATTGGATCATTGACTGAACAGTGAATAAACTCTACTATATTGTGCATTACCTTTATGGAAGTCTGCAAGTCATCGGTCAGCTTTTGAGTTACAGTTTACCTGGATAAGAATGTAATAGAGACAGTAACCTTCAGAATTCCCTTTCACTAGCAAGTGCAGCTTAATGCGAAGCAGATATATATAGTTATGTAGGATATCTTCTACTTGTGAGAAATAATACACGGGAAAATATTATGTTGTTGATGTACCCTAACTATAATACAAGTATCCCAATTTATAACAATACATAATACCTACACTATTCCTATCCATGTAGGACTATGCTTATTTACATAACAACTAACTAATACTCCCCCTCAAGCCGGTGCATATAAATCATATGTACCGAGCTTGTTACATATATAACTAAAATACGAGTACCGGTGAGGGGCTTGGTGAAAATATGTGCAAGCTGATCATTTGACTTCACAAACTTTGTAGCAATATTTCATGAGAGTATCTTTTCTCTTACAAAGTGACAGTCAATCTCAATGTGTTTAGTTCTCTCATGGAACACCGGATTTGATGCAATATGGAGGGTAGCTTGATTATCGCACACAAGTTCCATCTTGCTGATTTCACCAAATTTCAATTCCTTGAGCAATTGTTTGATCCAAACTAGCTCATAGGTTGCCATAGCCATTGCCCTATATTCTGCTTCTGCACTAGACCGAGCAACTACATTCTGTTTTTTGCTCTTCCAAGATACCAAATTGCCTCCTACTAAAACATAATATCCAGACGTAGAACGTCTATCTGAAGGTGATCCTGCCCAATCAGCATCTGAGTATCCAACGATCTGCTCATGGCCTCGATCCTCAAACAATAACCTTTTTCCTGCAGCCGATTTTATATACTGAAGAATGCAGACAACTGCATCCCAATGACTATCACATGGAGAATCCATAAACTGACTTACAACACTCACATAAAAGGAAATGTCAGGTCTAGTCACTGTGAGATAATTTAATTTACCAACCAGCCGCCTATATCTTGCAGGATCGCTAAGCGGCTCCCCCTGTCTTGGCAGAAGTTTAGAATTCGGATCCATCGGAGTGTCAACAGGTCTACTGCCTGTCATTCCTGTCTCTTCAAGAATATCTAAGGCATACTTCCGTTGTGAGATCACTATACCCGAGCTAGACTGAGCGACCTTAATACCCAGAAAATACTTTAATCTACCCAGATTCTTAGTCTGAAAGTGTTGAAAAAGATGTTACTTCAATTTAGTAATACAATCATGATCATTGTCGGTAATAACAATATCGTCAACATAGACCACCAGATAAATACATAGACTTGAAGCAGAATGTCAATAAAACACGGAGTGATCAGCTTCACCCAGAGTCATGCCAAACTCCTGGATAACTGTGATGAACTTACCAAACCAGGCTCGAGGAGACTGCTTTAGACCATAAAGTGGCCGGCGCAAGCGACATACAAGGCCACGAGACTCCCCCTGAGCAACAAAACCAGGTGGTTGCTCCATATAAACTTCATCCTCAAGGTCACCGTGAAGAAAAGCATTCTTAATGTCCAGTTGATAGAGAGGCCAATGGCGAACAAAAGCCATGGATAGAAAAAGGCGGACTGATGCTATTTTAGCCACGGGAGAGAAAGTATCACTGTAATCGAGCCCAAATATCTGAGTATACCCTTTGGCAACAAGACGGGCCTTACGTCGATCAACCTGGCCATCCGGACCAACTTTGATTGCATAAACCCAACGACAACCAACAGTAGATTTACCTGAAGGAAGAGGACCAAGCTCCCAAGTACCACTCGTATGTAAAGTAGACATCTCTTCAATCATAGCTTGTTGCCATCCTGGATGAGACAATGCTTCACCTGTAGACTTAGGGATAGAAACAGAGGACAAATATGATATAAAAGCATAATGGTGTGATGACATACAATGGATGATGATAACTTAAACCGACATAATGGGGATTAGGATTAAGTGTGGTCTGTATACCTTTCCGAAGTGCAATCAGTGTACTATGAAGAGACAAGTCCGCTGTAGGAGCAGGGTCAGGTGCAGGATGTGAATCAGCTGGGCCTGATGCTGGGCGCGAACGACGATGATAAGTCAAGAGTGGTGTTCCTGTGATTGGGGATCTAGGAGGAGCAATACTAGACTCTTCAACGGTTGGTATGGGTAAGACTTCTGTGGCTGAAGGTGGAGGAGGAGCTATAGTAAACTTCTCAAAGGTCGGTATAGGTAAGACCTCGGACATATCAAGGTGGTCAGAAGAGGTAAAGAAAGGTTTAGACTAAAAAAATGTGACGTCAGCTGACATAAGGTACCTACGAAGATCAGGTGAGTAACAACGATATCCCTTTTTAACACGAGAATAACCCAGGAAGACACACTTGAGAGCACGAGGAGCTAACTTATCTTTCCCAGGGGCTAAGTTATGAACGAAACATGTGCTCCCAAAAACACAAGGGGGAAGAGAGTATTAGGGTGACTGGGGAAACAATACTGAATACGGAATCTGATTCTGGATGGGAGATGAAGGCATCCGATTAATCAAACAACAGGCTGTGAGAACTGCTTTGTCCCAAAAACGTAACGGAACACGAGATTCAATGAGAAGTGTGCGAGCAATCTCAATGAGGTGCCTATTCTTTCTCTTTGCAACCCCATTTTGTTGAGGGGTATAAGTACAAGATGTCTGATGAATAATTTCTTGAGAAGTTATAAACTGCTGAAACTGAGAGGATAAATATTCCAAGGCATTATCATTACGAAAAGTGCGAATAGAAACACCAAATTGATTTTTGATTTCAGCACAAAAATTATGGAATATAGAAAACAACTCAGAACGATCTTTCATTAAGAAAAGCCAAGTACATCTTGAATAATCATCAACGAAACTAACAAAATAACGAAATCCCAAGGTTGAGCTGACTTTACTAGGACCCCATATATCAGAATGAACTAAAGAGAAAACAACTCTGCATAACTCTTAACACTACGCAGAAAGGAGGCTCGGGTATGTTTCCCAAGCTGACACGACTCACAATCTAATGTAGACAAACTAGATAAACTAGGCACTTCTTCTGAAGCTTGGATAAACTCGGATGTCCTAAACGTCTGTGAATTAGGTCTGGAGGATTTGTAACTAGACATGCTGTGGAGCGATTTAGTGAGTCAAGGTAGTAAAGGCCTTCTGATTCACGCCCTGTGCCAATTGTCTGTCCCGTACGGCGGTCCTGCATAATAAAAGAATCATGAATAAAATATATACCACAATGGAGGGCACGAGTCAAGCGACTAACAAATGCAAGACTAAAAGGACGGCCAGGGACATAAAGAACGGAATCTAGAGTGACAGAAGATAGAGGATTAGCTTGTCCAACTCCTTTTGCTTTAGTTTGAATCCCATTGGCTAAAGTAATAGTGAGAAGAGACTGTGAATACACTATATTCGACAAAAGTGATTTATTACCAGAGATATGATCAGAAACGCCTGAGTCCATGACCCATGGTCCAAGAGTACTAGACTGGGAAACACAAGCAAAAGAATTACCAGCAACATGAGTATCAATCTGAACAACCGAGGCTACTTGTGGAGATGTCTGCTTAGTTGCTCGATACCGAAGGAACTCATTATATTCCCCTTCAGATAAAGAAAATCTCTGGTTACCTGTAGTCTCGGTCTGAGCAACATAAGCATTTTTAGGTGGTCGACCATGTAAAGAATAGCACACTTCACGAGTGTGTCCAAGTTTATGACAATAAGAACACTTGGGTCTAGATCTTCCAAAAAGACCTCCTCCTCGTCTATTCTCCATAGTTTGAGATGCCCGATTTTCCACTGGGATGCGAGATTAGTGGAGTCAAGTGTCTGTGATGAGATCATTGGGTGACTTGGTGCTGCAATAAGGCGAAGTAATCAAGAGAACAATTCATCAACTGTAGGGACAATCGGACTAGCCAAAATCTGGTCACGCATTGAATCAAGGTCATCAGGAAGTCCAGCGAGTGTAAGAACTAGAAACATCTTTTGTTGTTGCTCTTGTTGCTTTTCAATGCTAGCAGAAACTGTCATCAACTTCTTGAATTCCTCCATGACTGCCTGTACTTGTCCCAAGTAAGTCGACATATCCAATTCCTGTTTCTTCAAACTCGTCATCCGCGATATCACATCATAGAAACGAGATATGTCATTAGCGTATAAAGTACGAGCCCTTTCCCAAACTAAATGACATGCCTGGAATGGACGAAACAAAGGCATCAATTTGGAATCAATAGATCGCTACAAGATACTACATAACCGAACATCGATCTTTTTCCATTGTGCTTTGGCCTTTTCATTTCCCTCACTAGCTTTTTTGGTTAAGTGATCTTGAACACCTTGACCTTTACACCACAACTCCACAGACGAAGCCCAAGATAAATAATTTGAACTTCCAGGTAGGGGTTCAGAAGTAATCATAAAGGCTGAATTTTCAACTCCACTGTTCTTGGAACCAAAAGCATCAAGTCCGAGAGACATGATTGGATTAAATAATTACGAAGTCACAAAATTGGTGGCAAAATTGGTCCAAAATTGTGTTAGGTCACAGAAACAGTTAACAAGCAGCAGAAAGAATACACTGTAACCGCCGGAATCGGAAACAGTTGCTGTAATCGTCCAATAGTCGTCAAAAAATAAAAAAAGTTGTCGGAATGTGATGAAACTTGATGGGTAGTCGGAATTAGTAGGCGAGCAAACTGTCCTCAAGGAACTTCTCCAAAAAATGGCCGGAAAAGGTCGCACTCGCCGACGCGTGGGCTCACGCGCTCGCCAGAACCCTAGCTTCTGACGGCGTGTGAGGGCGCGTGAGGCTGCTTCTGCCGGAGAGGATGAGTGGGGTTTGGTCGCTGGACGATGACGGATCTTGTGGTAGTGTTGGATTTTACACAACACTAACGGAGAGAGAGATGACGCAAGACAACCGTGAAAAGTCACCGAAAAATTGAGGCACGGTGACTTTCGGCTGTATTCTGGTTCCCGGATGTGTCTCACCACCACGGCTCTGATACCATGTGAGAAATAATACACGGGAAAATATTATGTTATTGATGTACCCTAACTATAATACAAGTACCCCTATTTATAACAATATACAATACCTACACTACTCCTATTCCATGTAGGACTATGATTATTTACATAACAACTAACTAACACTACTTATTTGTTTCTCAGCAGTAATTTTCTTTTTAAATTGTTTGTTTTTTACTATTGAAAAATATTATTGATGTGGATAATATGTTGATCTTTTACCAGTAAAAATAACTATGCAAATTGCTGTCTCATTAGGTATTGGAAGGTTTGGATCCAGTCAGAAAAAGGCCAGGAATGTACATTGGAAGCACCGGACCTCGTGGTCTCCACCATTTGGTATCTCTAGCCTTCTCCGATTCCTTTCTTTTGATATATTTGGCGTTGCTAGCTACGCTTCTATTTATTCTTGACTGAACTTTTATTGTCCCAGTTATTGAACATATTTCCTTGTAGGTTTACGAAATATTGGATAATGCCGTTGATGAGGCACAAGCAGGATTTGCAACAAAGATAGATGTAGTCCTTCATGCGGATAACTCCGTGAGCATTGCTGACAACGGTCGAGGGGTATGTGCTGTCTTATTCTCTTGTGCAGAAGTAGGACTAACTTAATAGGAGATTGCACACACTAGCTTATGTAAATATTGTGTTTTCCTATCATCTCATAAAGGATTGACTCAACCTTCTCTTGAATATTCTGCTGTCTTAGCACATAAGATGATGTTTGTGTCATCAAGCTGTTCATGTTTGTGATTTTCCCCTGTTCTCCCTTGCTTATTTCCAGTCCTTCCTACCTTTCAAGGAGAGGTCCTGGACGCTGCATGTGATGGAAATGGTTTTAGGAAGTGTGCTAATAAGAAATTGACATGCTTGTATATGGTTGTCAAAGCTCCTTGAAGTTCCCATTCTGTTCAAAACCTCACGCTTGTTGATAAAAAATTGGTTCTCATTAATAATGCATTTTGTTGGGAATTTTTCAGATTCCGACAGAGTTGCATCCAGTGACAAAGAAATCTTCTCTGGAAACAGTTTTGACGGTATGTTCACATGGGATAGCCATTTTCAGGCTGTTTTTAAACACACACACACACACATATATGTTTATATGTTTTTTCCTACTCAGTGGATGGGGCTCAGTGTCAGCTTCTCATCTAACTACAAGTCTATAAAAATGTGTCCAAAGTTATGAGATTTTTTTAACCTAACATTGTTTGAGAAATTTTAAATTTTGGAAAATCCTCGGAGCCTGTGAAATCAGAAGGAAGAATTAAGAGTTATGAAAACCTGTTATTGAACTCCCAAAGACGGTTCCTCAATAATGAAAGATTGAAGGTATTCCTTTTCAAAAAAAAGAAAAAAAGAAAAAAGAAAGTGAAAGACAAAGTGAAAGACGGAAGGTATAGTTGCTTCAAGATTCAACAGTCAGTTTTTTTCTCGGAGCTTTGGTCATAGTTGTAAGAGTGCACCGCGTAATACGTGGGTTAAGCGCACTTAATGGGTCCGAACGTGCCGCAGACAAAGCCTGGTATTTAATTGGAGAAGTGTAGATGCTTAGTATCCACTGATTTTCGAACCGTGCGCCACTGGCTCTCGGGAATTTCTCGGTTATAAAAGTAAAAACGATTCAACAATCAGTAATCTCTCATTGAAATTTTATAGAAGAGTTCAGTGGCGCTTAGTTGTACTCTCCTATGGCTTTCTTCCCCAGTTGTCTTATCCTGCCCATACCTATGGTGATTTTGTATGAAGTATCAACCAGTGCTAGCATAATCTTCTATTTAGTATGATTGGCCCACAAAACATGACCTAAGAAACTCGGAGCAGTAGTATTAGTGACCCGAAGTTTATGTGCTTTACAAGAATCTTCATCAGCCATTTTAAAAACACTACAACAAAGTGGGTGCAAACATTAGAGATTAGGGTTTACAAAAAACACTAGGTTATTTCATCACATCTGCTTAATCCTTGGCGAGCGGAGTTACCCGATACATGTGCTGGTGGGAGGTAGTAGGTACCCGTGGAATAGTCAAGGTGCGCACAAACTGGCCTTGACACCACCATTATAAAAAAAAGAGAAGCAATATTTAGGGGTGTCAATGACTATTTAAAAACCGATTAAACCGGCCGAACCGTACCGTGCCGAATCGATTTTTAGGTTTCTTTTAATAAAACCGTAGGATTTTATATAAATCTATAACCGTGCCGATAATTAGGGTAGAAAAAATACCGAACCGTACCGACTAAATTTACACGGGAAAATATATTTATATATTAAGTTTAAAAAGAATAATGTATTAAAGTTTTTTTTGGGCCTTGGAATTGTGAAAACGGTTACAAGCCAACAAGTAATTAAACTCAAAATCCTAATTCCAAACCTTTAATTTTACTCCTAATGAAACTAAATTATTTCCAGCATATTCCCTAGCAAGATACAAGGTATTCTAGCAATTAGTAGCAAACTAGCCTTTCGTATGATTTAGATTTATCATTTTGAATATTTAATCTTCTATAGACTTTATTTTTGAGTTCCAGCTTGGTTAATATCTTTTCACTCGTGTGATTTATATTTTCTTTGTCTTTGTTTAGTTTCTTTTACGCTGCTGTAGAATAGTTGATGGATCTATGCTCTGGCCATCTTTCATATTTTCTTAATTCATCATCCTTTAAACAGTAAAAATGTCTAGAGAGATTGCTATGTCCTATAAAAGTACATATGTTATCGCATTCTACTTCTACTAGTGACTTTTAAATGACGCTTAAAAAAATATCGAAAATTAACCAAACTGTACCGATATCGAAGAAAAACCGACATGATTATGACGGTTTCGAAAAGTCTAATTTTGATTATACACGATAGAATAACCGAAAAAATGGTATGGTACAAATTTTAGAAAATAACCGTCCGAACCGAACCATTGACACCCCTAGCAGTATTGCTTGAGTAAGGTGCAAGGTTACTGCATAATCACATGCTTAAGCCGAAATTCAGAGAGGTATTTTCTTAAATTGTATTCAGAAAGGTGCTTTTAAAGCAGTGCCACAACTCATAATTAAATAGACTAATTCACTCTTGTGTAGGTTTTCTACTTTTTGGTATACCTCTTGTATACGTGTATGTTTTGCCTAAACGTTAATAAAATTTATTACCTTTAAAAAACAATTGAAGCACAAACTCACTCTTGCTTATTGTTTATATAAATGGATCTAATAACAACAACAACAAACCCAGTGTAATCCCACAAGTAGGGTCTGGAGAGGGTAGTGTGTATGTATACCTTACCCGTATCTTGTGAAGGTAGAGAGGCTGTTTCCGGTGGATCCCCCGACTTAAGGAAAAATGCAAAAAGAAGCAGTAACAACAAGCAGTAACAACATTAAGATAAGATGATAAGATAACCGAAACGAAAGAAACAACAGGTAGTGATATAAATCTAGGAATAAGAAAATACGAGAGTAATACTAATATAACTGGTATGGAAAAGAGATACGTCCGACTACCTACCATTAATATAACTTGTGAAGGTAGAGAGGCTGTTTCCGGTGGACCCCCCGACTCAAGGAAAAATGCAAAAAGAAGCAGTAACAACAAGCAGTAACAACATTAAGATAAGATGATAAGATAACCGAAACGAAAGAAACAACAGGTAGTGATATAAATCTAGGAATAAGAAAATACGAGAGTAATACTAATATAACTGGTATGGAAAAGAGATACGTCCGACTACCTACCATTAATTCTCGACCTACACACCCTCCTATCAAGAGTTATGTCCTCTGAAAGTTGAAGCTATGCCATGTCTTGCCTAATTGCCTCTCCCTAATACTTCTTAGGCCTACCTCTATCTCTAGAGATCCATTTCATTGTGTATGTTGAAAATTTTTGTTGATTATTGTGAGAAAGCATGAGAGAAAATATTATTGATTATCTGAAGTGTTGTATGACACCCTGTTTATATATAGTGATTACATAATAATAGGTATCTACTTCTCAATGTGGGACACTATACATGACGAACTACTTAACACTCCCCCTCAAGCCGGTGCATATAAATCATATGTACCAAGCTTGTTACAGATGTAGCCAATACGAGAACCAGTAAGAGACTTAGTGAAAATATCTGCTAGCTGATCATTCGACTTCACAAACTTTGTAACAATATCTCATGAGAGTATCTTTTCTCTGACAAAGTGACAGTCGATTTCAATATGTTTAGTCCTCTCATGAAACACCGGATTTGACGCAATATGAAGAGCAACTTGATTATCACACACCAGTTCCATCTTGCTGATTTCTCCGAACTTCAACTACTTGAGCAACTGCTTGACCCAAACTAGCTCACACGTTGCCATAGCCATGGACCGATATTCGGCTTCGGCGCTAGATCGAGCAACTACATTCTGTTTCTTGCTCTTCCAAGAGACCAAATTACGTCCTACTAGAACACAATATCCAGACGTAGAACATCTATCAGAAGGTGATCCTGCCCCATTAGCATCTGTGTACCCAACAATCCGCTGGTGGCCTCGATCCTCGAATAGTAATCCTTTGTCTGGAGCTGACTTTATATACCGAAGAATGCGAACAACTGCATCCTAGTGACTATCACAGGGAGAATCCATAAAATGACTTACAACACTCACCGGAAAAGAAATGTTAGGTCTAGTCACTGTGAGGTAATTCAATTTGCCAACCAACCTCCTATATCTCGTAGGATCTCTAAGAGGCTCCCCCTGTCCTGGCATAAGCTTAGCATTCAGATCCATAGGAGTGTCAACAGGTCTGCAGCCCATCATTCCAGTCTCCTCAAGAATGTCTAAGGCATACTTCCGCTGTGAAATAACAATACCTGAGCTAGACTGAGCGACCTCAATACCTAGAAAATACTTCAATCTGCCCAGATCCTTAGTCTGGAAGTGCTAAAAGAGATGCTGCTTCAGATTAGTAATACCATCCTGATCCTTATCAGTAATAACAATATCATCAACATAAACCACCAGATAAATACACAGATTAGGAGTAAAATGCCGATAAAACACAAAGTGATCAGCTTCTCTACGAGTCATGCCGAATTGCTGAATAATTGTGCCGAATTTATCAAACCAAGCTCGAGGGGACTGTTTCAAACCATATAGTGACCTGTGAATCAGCATACAAGACCACTAGACTCCCCTTGAGCAACAAAACCAGGTGGTTGCTTCATATAAACTTCTTCCTCAAGATCACCGTAGAGAAAAACATTCTTAATGTCTAACTGATAAAGAGGCCAATGACGTACAACAACCATGGATAAAAAGACACGAACATATGCTACTTTAGCCACAGGAGAGAAAGTGTCACTATAATCAAGCCCAAAAATCTGAGTGTATCATTTTGCAACAAGACGAGACTTAAGCCGATCAACCTGGCCATCCGGGCCGACTTTGACTACATAAACCTAACGACAACCAACAATAGACTTACCTGAAGGAAGAGGAACAAGCTCCCAAGTGCCACTCGCATTTAAAACAGACATCTCGTCAATCATAGCCTGTCGCCATCCTGGATGAGATAGTGCCTCACCTGTGGACTTAGGGATAGAAACAATGGACAAAGATGATATAAAAGCATAATGAGGTGATGACAGACGATGATAATTAAACCTACATAATGGGGATTAGGATTAAGTGTGGATCGTACACCTTTGCGGAGTGCAATTGGTTGACTAAGAGGAAACAAGTCCGCAGTAGGTGCAAAATCTGATGCAGGACGTGAATCACCTGGGCCTGATGCTAGACGTGGACGACGATGATAAGTCAAGAGTGGTGGAGCTGCAGAAGGTTGAACTGGATTAGGTGGTGGAACTGGAACTATAGGTGGTGGAACTGGAGCTATAGGTGGTGGAGCTGCAACTGGAGCTGTAGGTGGTGGAGCTGGAGTTGTAGAGGAAGATGAATGGGAGATAGTGACTGAATCTCCAAAAGATGAAACTGGTAGCACCTTAGAAATATCTAAGTGATTATCTGGACCTGTGAAGTATGATTGGGTTTCAAAGAAGGTAACATCAGCGAACATAAGGTACCGCTGGAGGTCAGGAGAATAGTATCGATACCCCTTTTGCGTTCTCGAGTAACCCAGAATACGCACTTAAGAGCACGAGGAGCTAACTTATATTTTTCCGGAGTAAGGTTATGAACAAAACACGTGCTTCCAAAGACACGGGGTGGAAGAGAGAACAAAGGTAAGTGGGGAGACATGACAGAGAATGGAACTTGATGCTGGATAGCTGCAGATGGCATACGATTAATAAGATAGCAAGATGTAAGAACTGCATCCCCCAAAAACGCAATGGAACATGAGATTGTATGAGTAGGGTACGAGCAGTTTTAATAGGATGTCTATTCTTTCTTTCAACTACCCCATTTTGTTGAGATGTGTACGGACAAGATGCTTGATGAATAATCCCATGAGAGTTCATAAATTGCTGAAATGGGGAAGACAAATACTCTAGGGCATTATCACTACAAAATGTGCGGATAGGAACCCCAAATTGATTTTGAATTTCAGCGTGGAAGGTCTGGAAAATAGAAAACAACTCAGATCAATTTTTCATCAAAAATATCCAAGTGCATCTGGAATAATCATCAATGAAACTGATAAAGTAGCGGAATCCCAAGGTAGAACTGACCCGACTAGGACCCCAAACGTCTGAATGGACTAAAGTAAAAGGTGACTCTGCTCGATTATCAAGACGCCGAGGGAAATAGGAGCGGGTATGCTTACTGAGTTGACATGACTCATACTCTAGAGTGGACACGTGAGATAAACCGGGTACCATTTTCTGAAGTTTCGACAAACTGGGATGTCCCAACCGTTTATGTAATAAATCTGGTGAATCAGTAACATGACAGGTTGTTGAAGGAAGACAAGATGTGAGTCCATGTGATTTAGCAAGGATAAAGTAATAAAGTCCATTTGATTCACGCCCGGTACCAATGATCCGCCCCATACTGCGTTCCTGTATAAAAACAAGGTCATCAAGAAATAAAACAATGCATTTAAGTGATTTGGCTAAGCGACTAACGGCTATGAGATTAAAAGGACTACTGGGAACATAAAGAACTGAATCTAAAGGTAGCTCGCCGGAAAATTTCAAAGTTGTCGGAATCTGGCGGAAACCGTACTGGTGGACTCGGAATTGCTGTGCGAACAGGCTGTCCTGAAGAAGCTCGGCCAAAAAACGGCCGGAAGAAGCCTCACGCGTCGGCGCGTGAAGTCGGAGTCTCGTCGGAAAATATTCTTCCGGCGGCGCGTGAGGGCGCGTGGGAGGGGTCTGCTGGAGAAATTGTTACGGGTTGGTCGCTGGAAGCTGATCTACCTCGTGGTGGTGTTGGTTTTTGCACAACACCGATGGAAATGAACTTTTTTTCTGCGGACAGTCCTGATTTGCCGGAAAAAGGCTTTTTTTTTTTCCCGGAGTCGTTGGAATTTATGCACAACGATAAATATCTCACGATTGCTCTGATACCATGTGAGAAAGCACGAGAGAAAATATTATTGATTATCTAAAGTGTTGTACAACGCCCTATTTATATACAGTGATTACATAATAATAGGTATCTACTTCTCGATGTGGGACACTATACATGACTAACTACTTAACAATTATAAGCTCCTAGTTATGTACTGTACAACCAATAATATTGTAGTTTCCGGCATTTAAGTGATTTGGCTAAGCGACTAACGAATATGAGATTAAAAGGACTACTGGGAACATAAAGAACTGAATCTAAAGGTAGCTCGCCAGAAAATTTCAAAGTTGTCTGAATCTGGCGGAAACCGTACTGGTGGACTCGGAATTGCTGTGCGAATAGGCTGTCCTGAAGAAGCTCGGCCAAAAAACGGCCGGAAGAAGCCTCACGCGTCGGCACGTGAAGTCGGAGTCTCGTCGGAAAATATTCTTCCGGCGGCGCGTGAGGGCGCGTGGGAGGGGTCTGCTGGAGAAATTGTTACGGGTTGGTCGCTGGAAGCTGATCTACCTCGTGGTGGTGTTGGTTTTTGCACAACACCGATGGATATGAACTTTTTTTCCTGCGGACAGTCCTGATTTGTCGGAAAAAGGCTTTTTTTTTCCCCGGAGTCGCTGGAATTTATGCACAGCGATAAATATCTCACGATTGCTCTGATACCATGTGAGAAAGCACGAGAGAAAATATTATTGATTATCTAAAGTGTTGTACAACGCCCTATTTATATACAGTGATTACATAATAATAGGTATCTACTTCTCGATGTGGGACACTATACATCACTAACTACTTAACAATTATAAGCTCCTAGTTATGTACTGTACAACCAATAATATTGTAGTTTCCGGCTTTTAAAATTTATTACATTCTTTTGAATTGACTCTTGTGCTACTTACTGATGTTGTTTGCACTGTTGGAGATAGTATAAAAATCATGGAAATCAATGTTTATGAATTTCTATCTATATGGAAACCATGCTTTTAGAATAGACAATGAACCAAGAGTATATCTTGATGATGTGGTAGCAAATTGTGCAGGTTTTGCATGCAGGTGGTAAATTTGGAGGCTCAAGTAGTGGCTATAATGTGTCTGGTGGATTACATGGTGTGGGCCTGTCAGTTGTTAATGCATTGTCAGAGGTATCAATATCATATTTTGAAAGATTTCTGCTATCATTTTCCTATACACTGATAATGAATGTAGAATTTGTAATTTAGAAAATATTTGTGCTATAGCCGCCCCTTTTCTTTTGTGACAGTTGTAGCTAGTTTTTCTGCTCTTAAATGGGTTGCTTACTGTCCTTCGTGTTTTATCCCTAGATTGCTGCTATTACTTGTTCCTGCCTTGTTTCGGTTTTCTGATTGCATTACTTAGTGTTAGTTTTGTATTTTCGCTTCGATTGTCAGATTGGTTTGCTTGTTATTGCCCCTTCACTTTTTCCTTCCTGAGCCGAGGGTCTACCGGAAACAGCCTCTCTGCCTTTTTAAAGGCAGGGGTAAGGTCTGCGTACACTCTACCCTCTCCAGACCCTACTTGTGCGACTACACTGGGCTTGTTGTTGTTGTTGTAAATGGGTTGCTTACTTTAGCTTTATGTTGTTCTCTTGTTAACTAACTGTCTAAGGATACTTTAATCAAATTTGTCAGTGCCATTGCTTTAACTAGATAACTAGTCTCTAGTGGTAGAATGACCTCAAATGTTGTTTACTTGCATATTTACAAGATTGTTTAAACATTCTCAGGTTTTTTCTTTTGTGACAAATATGTGCAGTTCAGGATCTTTCAAAATTTTGAATTGTATTCTAGACTTGTTGTTCTGGGTTTTCATTTTCAAAAGTTGATTATGCTCCTTTCTTGGGGTGCCATTTATCTCATTTAAGGAAAGCAGATATGAATTTGGGCTATAATCAGAGAGACTACATTCTGAAAATGATAGCAGACAATCCATTGTTCACCTCTTGCATGTGTGTACATAAATCAATAGTTAAGCAGTTCAACTTTTTATTCAGTGACCTTTTGATTTCTAAATAGAGCAGTGTTCCGTGAGTATCTAAAACGAAAAGTAGATAAAAGGAAATGAAATAATGTTTATAGTATTACATGTATTTGTAGTTATATTTTGTTTGTCTTGCTAAAAAAAAACTCTCTTTTTCATCAGATATGCTTTTTGTCAAAAATGTGACCGCTGATGGGTTTCGTCCTTTAATTGAATGGTACTAGTATGAGTGCGGTAATGTTTCATCTATTTCTTTTTTCTTCTCTTTCCTTTTGGGCTTTTGGTTGGGCGTTGGTCAAGATAGTTTGAAGAAGGCTTAGAGAATTGCAGTAAAAGAGGGAGAGAAGTGAAAGTAATATTAGGAGTCTTTACCCCTTATTGAATAAATGTAAGCACTTGGTACTGCAGTAACCCTGATGAGTGGAAGAAATGGTCACAAAGACTGACATGAATGATGCTTGATTTGATTGCTTTTGTATATAATGTAGTTCTCATTGTTTTTCTGAGCGTAGTTGACAATGTTCAGCAAAATGCTTACATGCGTGATCACTTTTCCTTTGCTAGTCTTTCAGCTTTCTTGACCTAGTGGTCTATATCATGTTCTCTGATAGGCCCTTGAAGTTACCATATGGCGTGATGGTAAAGAATACCAACAGAAATATTCACGTGGGAAGCCAGTAACAACTTTGATATGTCATGACCTCCCGGTGGAAATGAGAGATCGACAAGGGACTGCCATTCAGTTTTGGCCTGATAAAGAAGGTAGTTACACTGTCTTCAATCTCCAAAAGATGTTGCTGCCGTCTCCTTTCTTGTCATGTTTCCATTTTCTGTATTAGCATTTAAAGTTCTGATGACATCTTGCTTTGCAGTATTCACAGCTGAAATACAATTTGACTATAACACCATAGCTGGGAGAATTAGGGAGCTTGCTTTCCTCAATCCCGAGGTATGTCAAGATTGTTCTCACAGAGAAAAGCCTACTTGCTCTTGCTGCTTTTAATTTATGAGCAAGTCGGTGTAGCTTCTTACTCTTTCACCTTTCAAAGAAGTCGAAATAGAAAGGGATAGGAACGATGCTGTCAAATGATGCCTTTGAGAGGTTTTGTTCGTGGAAGGAACTTCGGTGGCTGTTTGAATGTCTTCCTTCTTCAACCTATGGTTTAAGTGAAAATGCTTATGCCATTTGGTGACTGCATGTTGAAGTTCATTGCAATGCATTTGACATTCCTCACTTCTGCATGCTGCATTTTGGTGCATAATACATAAACTTCTTCAAAGAAATGAAAGCTTCTTATGCTTGATAACTATATTTTCATATGCAAGATTCATTTTAGTTTCAAACAATTGAGCATTTCTTTTATTTCAGCTCACAATTGCTCTCAAGAAGGAGGACGTAGATCCAGAGAAGATCCAATGCAACGAGTACTTTTATGCTGGAGGATTGGTTGAATACGTGAAATGGCTGAATGCAGACAAAGTGTGTTTGTCTTTTCCCTTTTACTTTTCACACACTTCATTTTCTCTTTCAAATTTGGGAGTAATTGCTTGCTAATGAAAATTTAGAACTGGCGGTAAAGGCTTATTGCATTAAATTGACGAGCTTGAAAAAATTGTTCAGGTTATTTAGGGTGATCTCTCATACATACATGTCATGTTACATGGTGTCCTTGTCCGTAGGCATCACTTCTAGAAAAGTGAATGGAACCAGCAAATTATATTTTATTCTCCCTTGTTTCAAATTTGTCCTTCCCATTCTGATTTGGCACTATTATTAAGAGGACTTTAAAATTTGAGTTGTTTAATATTTGTTGTGAAGCATATTTGGATGTTTTTTCCTTATAAACAACATATCTTTTCGTTTGCATTACAGAATAATAAAATAAGGATGAAGCTGTATTCAGAAGAGTAGAACTGGTTTCTATAAAACATTTTGTGGTATATAATACTCCCTCCGTTTCAATTTATGTGAACCCATTTGACTGGGCACGAAGTTTAAGAAAAGACCGAAGATTTTTGAATTTGTAGTGTAAAATGAGGCGGGTTATAAATCATTGCATAAAGGTAAATTATTTCTAAAAAGGGAAAGGGGTCATTCTTTTTGACACGGACTAAAAAGGAAATAGGTTCACATAAATTGAAACAGAGGGAGTATGTATCTATAAAATACTTTGTGGTGCCATTTGAGTAATGTAGACAACATCTTGGGTAATTTCAAAGAGGAAAGGTGTCACGCCCCGAACTTGGGCCTAGACGTAACACGGCACCTGGTTCCTGACTATTTATGACTGAGCGAACCAACTGGCCGGCTGAATTAACATGTGATATCATAACATATTGAATGCGGAAGATAAACTAACACATGTTGATATACTGAAAGTCTGAATGATATAAATCAAAGTACGAAAACACTAATATAAGTCTGAAACATATCTGTAGCCAATATTGCTTAACATGAAAAGCATGCGACTATGTCTAATTGTTACTCTAGTCTATGAAGCATCTAATGAAGTACTGAAAACACTGACGGTCTGTAAATACTGAAAGATTGTAAAGTAATGATAATGCCCCGAAAGAACGGAGCTCACCCAATAGCTGGTACGAGAATCCTAGCGCTCTAAATCGTCAACCTTTAAATCATTACTTGTATCGTGAGATACAGGCCCCGGGCGAAAGGGACGTCAGTACATTTGAACTGCCCTGATATGTAAAGCAACTGAAAGAAAGAACTGTAAATTCTGAAATTGAAACTGACGACTGATGAACGACTGACGACTGAACAAGGAAGTAAAGATATGAATACTCCCTTTTCTGAATGATGAACCACCTGCTTATCTGAATAAATAATTTGCGGCCTCAAGCCCAATATATATGTGCACAAGCTACGGCTTCGGGCCCAAGTATACGTATACATAACTGCGGCCTCAGGCCCAAATACAAGTGTTCAACATTCAGGAATTTAAATTCAGGAACTGAGAATCATACTGCAATACGTGATGCTGAAATACTGAATCATACTGAGTTACATGATATTGGAATGCTGCATAGGAACTAGACTGAGACATGTATTCCTGAACTGATTATGAAAACTGAAACTTCAACTGTTTATGACATGCTGAGTAATCTAGACTGAGACTCATGGGCATCAAACACAAGTCTATATTGATTACCCACTGAGCTCACAACGTTCGGAATGAAAACCATGGACGAATTACGAAGCTAGAGAATAGAAGTTGTGCAACTATTTAATGAACTTAGCTTAACCATATTTCTGAGGCAATTAGTAACGTTGTAAAAGAAACGTAGTATAGTGAGTTAGCCTCACATACCTTAACTTCCTGCTCGAGCCTAATACAACGTTCGCCAACCCTTTCAACTTTAATCTATAGCAATACAAGTCAAAGGGATTCCATATTAGCAATAATACTCATGTTTTGGTCACTTAGGCATTTTATTAAACACCTTATGGGTGTAAAGCCTCATAGCCCTTATTAATGGTGTTTTCTTCGCCCAATTCTCATTCTACTACTTCTAGGTGATTCTACAATCCCAAATAGATGTAACTAACACCATTTCTCATCGCACAAATGTATATAACAATCTTAAGTCAACGACCCAAACCCTAGCATAGTTCATATGATTCTCTTTATCAAACCCATTTACTATTCTCCCAAGAACTCATCAATTCATAGCTATAAATGATTGGGGAGTAGAAGCATTACCTTTTTGAACTTCAATCCTCTTGAATTCGAGTTCTAGGGTTTCTTTTCTCAACAATGATGTCTCAATCGAATATCTAATGATTTGAAGGGTTTACCCTGTTAATAAGGTGTTAGAGAATTGAAATTAACTCAGAATCATCATTAGAACTTACCTTGGTTGATGGAGGGACCTTGGAGGAACTTGGGTTCTTGAGAGCTCCCCTTTCTAGAGCAAGAGCAAATCTACGTGTTTGGGGTGTAGGGAACGAGGTACGGTTTAAATAAATGTACACGTCTAAAAATTGAGGAGGAAATAAAAGTGGCTCGGATAGACATCGTCAACGCGGGGGCATCATCAGAGACGCCAAAATAAAAGTGCAAGGCGCCAAACTACACGGCCTTGCATCGTCAGGGGCGCTAAAGTTAGTGCTCTGGACAGTGCCTCGCACTGTCTAAAGCTGTGAGTTTTCATGGCCTTGCACTGTCTAAGGCTGGAAGACAGACCTTCCATAAACTTAGTCGATTCTATCGAATCTTATGCACCTCACTCTCCGTCTTGATTCCAAAACAACTATTTCCATCCATACTCATCCCGATAGGACTTCACATGTCTAAAATATCACATTAATACTCATTTAGCACATCCACACCTAATCCAAATTTTCGGAGTGTTACAAAAGGAGGACAAGCATTTTGGTAAACGGGGTATCTGTTCCGTGGTATCACGATCTACAGGTCTAGCACAAAAGCAATAGTATATCTGAATCAAGTCTGAAATCGGAATATCCTTGCTTCATCAGAAAAATCGAGTATGAAATCTGTCAGATAATGTTATGCATGTATATTTAACAATGACTTAAATTAATTACTGTCTTTGCCCCTAGGGCTTTGGTCCAGTGGTAAGAGCATAGAGCGTGATGTGTGGGTTAAGCACACATCACGGTTTCAAACCCTACCACAAACAAAAGGCTGGTATTTAAATGGAAAAGGGTAGAGGAGCGAACCCATTATTCACCGAAAACTGTGTTCCACTGGCTCTCGGAAATTTCTTGGTTATCAAAAATTTTCCGGTGATGCTTTTGTTGTATGAAGTCTATTAAGTAGTTCCTGACTTCTCTCTGCTCTAGAAACCACTTCATGATGTGCTGGGATTCAGAAAAGAAGCTGATGGAATCACGATTGATATGGCTCTTCAATGGTAAGATATCATATCTTTTTATCCTTCTATCCATCTTCCTCTGTTTACTCTTTTCTTTGTCAAGCATGGTTGGAATTAAAGCAACATATAATTTTTATGCTGCACCATGCCGTCATGCAGTGGTTGCATGGTTTTTTTCTTCCCAGCAATTGGTATGTATATGAATTGCATGTTAAGAGTGGTATGTTTTACACAGTTTCTTTTCTGTTTTTCATTGCAGGTGCTCAGATGCTTATTCAGACATGATGCTAGGTTATGCAAACAGCATACGGACAATTGATGGTGGCACTCACATAGATGGTGTGAAAGCTGCCCTAACAAGAACTCTCAACAATCTGGGGAAAAAGTTAAAGACAATCAAGGTTCGTTGAATTTAGGTTCATTGTTTCTTTTATTTCTGTTTGCTCCAACAAAAATCTGTGGTGTTTTTGTATCTCTCCAGCCTTTCCAGTCTGCTGATACAGCACCAAATATGTTGGAATTCTTTTGGTTTTCGCTTGCACTTCTGTCCATTTGACCATGATTGCTTGGATGTGCATGCTACCCCTTGCAATAGCTTTGCTGGTTTCAATTGGGAAAAATACTCTGCACCTTGTGTTCACATTGGAGCTTTAGTGCCTTCAGAAACTTTAACTTCATAACCACCTTATGTTCTCATTGTTTGATGTCTACACGAGCTAGAGGATTATTCTAAAGTCGTACGAGTCTTTATCTGGATTACCACCTTTCGACGTAAAGACTTTGTAGTTATGTATAAGGAAATCACTTAAATTTATATAATAAAAAGTTTCCCTTTCAATAACTTAAAAATGAATCCATCCTTTGTTGACTACATTGTTTTTTGATAACCAAGAAATCCCCGCGAGCCAGTGGCACATGGTTCAAAACCTATCAAAAAATGGGCCGGCCCCTCTACCCTTTATTAACTACATATTAAGAGAAGAAAGTTTAAATAGTAGAGTTAATTGGAATATATTGAAAGTTGAGATGTGTAAATAGTGGTTTAGTTCTTGTCATATCAAGGTCACTATAACATTGAGTAGTATTAGTTTGGTTTTTTCACATTTCGATTTAGGAAAAGTGGTGAAATAAATGGAACAAGGAAGAATAATATTAGATAAGCACTGGGATGGAGTATATTATTAGGTGAATACAAGTGTGCAAAGTCAATGAACTTTGGCAGTGCTGACTTCAACTTTTAACAAAATTCTTCAGCTTGGAACTGCTTATATGCGGACATCTTCGAGAAGTATAGTAGCATTGCTTTCTGGACCATCACATAATCTTAGTCATGGGGGTCTTTTTACATCTGTTAGTTTTTCATTCAAATTATGAGTGTCGTAGACCAGAATGTAGGAGAAGGTTTTTTGTTCTTAAAATAAGTCCTAGTTAATCAATGCCTTCCAGAAAGAAAGAAAAAATGTTCTATTTGTTCAAAGAGGAAAAGACAAAAATTGAGGTTCAGTCCAAATCTCCAATTCTGCCTTCTGGAATTCGCTATTCACTGTTGATTGACTTCATTATTAGGAAAGATTTGATTCTGATTGAGAAAGATTTGATTCTGATTGAGATTTGATTTTATTCTGATTGATTGTAATTTATTTTCCTTCTTAAAATAGTCATAGGACTTAGTGTATAAATACCTTTGCTTAGGGATGTAAGAAATACACAGGAATACAAGAAGCCTTTTCTTCTTCTCAAAATCTACACACACTAATTGAGTGCAACCAAAATATTGGATCACCCTAAATCTGCAAAATCTGCAAAATCTGCTGTGTTAGCTTGATCTCTCTCTGTTTAATGTCTCAATAAGTAGGGATATTTGGGTTACTCTTAAGTTTTGTTCGTTTGTATTATTCAGGAGAAGGACATAAGCTTAAGTGGCGAGCATGTAAGAGAGGGATTAACCTGTGTTATTTCTGTTAAAGTTACGAATCCAGAATTTGAAGGACAAACTAAGGTATCTCTCTCCTTTCATGGTTGAAAAATTTGTTACAGTTTTTATGGTATAAAAGTTCTATGAAGCCTTAAAATTTCCAATTTTTGTGAGGCCGACATTGTTTACTATGTTTTCAATTGAAGACTAGGTTGGGAAATCCTGAGGTTAGAAAGGTGGTCGATCAGTCAGTTCAAGAGTATCTGACTGAGTATCTGGAATTGCATCCAGATGTGCTAGATTCAATTCTTTCCAAGTCACTAAATGCACTAAAGGTACCTAAGTTTGTTACATACACAAGACTGATCTTTGTAAGATTAAGCTGACTAAGTTGCCTGCTTGAGGACATCAATTGGTGTTATAAGAAATTATTTTACCTGCTGTATCTATTGCATCATATGCAGGCGGCTCTTGCAGCAAAGAGGGCTCGGGAGTTGGTGAGACAGAAAAGTGTCTTAAAATCATCCTCTCTTCCGGGGAAGCTTGCTGATTGTTCAGCCACAAATCCTGAAGAAGCTGGTAATTTACCTTATTATGGATTTTAAAACCAATGTGACATTTGGGTTAAACATTTAATTTTAGTTGCATGAAATATATAGGACCTTTCGCTGTAGAAAAGACTGAACGTCTGGCATGCTTCTGAGTGTAGCTCATGAATTTTGAGTGCAAACAATCTAATAAAGTAGTTATGGGCATCCGTTGTTAATAGGAATTAGGAAAGACCTTATTTCCATATTACTGCAATAGAGTTGGTTCTACTGCAATAGAGCTACCTTCCCGAAGATAGGGGTAAGGTCTGCGTACACACTACCCTCCCCAGACCTCACTTGTGTGATTTTACTGGGTCTTATGTTGTTGTTGTTGTTGTTGTTGTAGAGTTGGTTCTATGTTGGTGGTGTTTTTGTCACTAGTAAGGAGATGTGCAATGTTCAGGCATCGTTGAGTTCTGAATTCTCATCTTGGGGGTTCTGAATTCTCATCTTGGGAGTTTAACTACCATAGATTATGTGAAGCATTTTTCATTGCGAATAGCTTTTCTTGGGAGGTCTTTATAGGAGCCTTATTTTGTGAGTATTTTTCAAGAGAAGTATGTGGATAGACAAACTTTTAAGTCTTTTTTTTGTGGGTGGGTGGGTTTAGTTAGCTAGCGTCTTGAATAGTCCTCCATGAAAAGCTTAGTAAAATTTCAAAAAGTTCTTGAGTGTCCTATTGCTTTATAATACTCTTTTGAGGTGCTATGCTAGAAATTTTCCAGAGCTAACTTTGGTTTTGACCACTCTTGAACTCCAAAGCCTTTCCTTTTCTTAGGTATTACTATAAACCTTGGAGTCCAGGATTCAAATTCTAGTAGAGACAAAAAAATGCTAGGTGATTATTTCTCATTTGCCTATGCCTTGGTAGGCAAAATTTTCAGATACTTGTGCTAGTGGGAGATAACAGATATCCAATGAGATAGTTGAGTTGCACGCTAGTTGGAAAGCACCATTGTGTCCGAAAAAGATCCTTAGGGAGACAACATACATTGGACAATTGGAATAAATACTGAACTATCACATTTTGGAGCACCGTAGTCAAATTTTAGAAAATGTAAGTAGCATGGCAAAAAGAAATATTTATCTTATGGGGCAAAAGATTTCTTGATAACGAGCCCTTTCTAGTATTCCTACTTCTTACGTGTTCTTGATGCACTTGCCAGTGACATCAGAAAAGCTGGAGAGATTGCGCTGGAACTTGTTGTGAAACTTCAACATTATTTCAATAGTAAACTACAAGGTACTGATATGAACAATGCAAGTTTAGGGGTGAAGGAAATGCTTTCAGTAAGGCCGTAATGGGAAAATGGATATGGAGATTTGGTCACGAAAGGCAGGGGCATGTTGGGGAGAGTGATCCCGAACAAGTACGAATTATAGGAGGGAGGGTGGAGGAATACTGTAATTTCCTTGCGGAGGAGGGATGTGGAGAGGAATAATGAAGATATAGGACGAAGTTTCTTAATCCATTAATTTCAAGGCAGAGAATTGAGCTTGGGTCGACTTTAGGAATCATAAGACTTGCGGGCAAGACTCTATTAAGGAACTTCCCAGCACTCTTTAGCGTCTCTTCACAACGAACACCAGGTGTCATACAAATGTACACAAAGGAAAGAGTCTTATGGGACTTGACATTTAGGAGAAATTTGCAAGACTGAAATTGAAGAACTCACAAGAGTCTTTTGGTGTAAACGTAAAATGACCAACTGAATTATGATACTTGGAAATGGGAAACATAGAGCAATGAACAATTTAATATGACTTCATTCTATCATGTATTCTTGAACAGAGATAACAAGGATTTCACATGCGGAACGATGTAGTTCTCTAAATCCCACGAGAACCTTTTTTTTTTTTTTTTCTTTCTGTTTTTTGGTTGGCCGTGGTTCAATGAGAATGGATAAGAGGCTTGTGAGATTGACATAATGATGCCGGGATGATAATATTTCTGGAGCTAGCTCCTGACAAATATGAAGCCCATTGATACAAATTATGCCTTGGAATGATAGATATTTTTGAATCCACTTTGTATACGAACAAGGATATCATATGTAATTGTAACATTGAAATCAAGGAAAATTTAATCACAACCCTTTACCTAGAAGTGTGCTTCTTTAAACAATGTTGGCCAGTAGAAGCCCGACTCTAACACTTTCGCAGCTGTCCATACTCCCCCGAAATGGCCACCATATAGGGACGCGTGACAAGCCTGCAAAATAGAAGATTGGTCTATATCAAGAATACATCTCTGGATCATGTTATCAACACAAATCCTGAATAGATAAGGCTCATCCCAAAAGTACATGTGACAGTCACGGAAGAACTTTTTCTTTTGTACAGAGGAAAGGTCATAAGGGACAATACTGCTCGCCAGGTAGTTTGCAATGTCTGCATACCATGGCGCTACCTCAAGGCTTGTGGCCAACAATTGTTCATCCAGGAAGGTCTCCACGGTCTCTTCCACCTTAACCTTCTTCTCTGCTCCTTCCAGTCTGGATAAGTGATCAGCCACTTGGTTCTCCGTTCCCTTTCGGTCACGGATTTTCATGTCGAATTCTTGTAGTAGCAGCACCTATCAAATCAGGCGCGAGTTTGACTCCTTCTCAATTAGGTACCTGAGAGCAGCATGGTCAGTATAAACAATTACCTTTGAGCCTATCAGGTATGACCGGAACTTGTCAAATACGAACACCACTGCTAGCATCTCCTTCTCGGTCATGGTGTAGTTGAGTTGGGCACCGCTCAAGGTTCTACTTGCATAGTAGATTGGATGTATGACTTTATCTTTTCACTGTCCAAGAACTGCTTCCACAGCATAGTCGCTTGCATTAACATTAGCTCAAATGGTTGCTCCTAGTCAGGTGCAACTATAGTGGGTGCCGTCACCAACCTCTTCTTCAACTCCTCAAAAGCTACCTGCAATCATCAGAAAACACAAAGGGGTGATTTTTTTCAAGCAATTTACATAAAGGGTGAGCAATTTTGGAAAAATGTTTTATAAACCGGCTGTAGAAGCCAGCATGACCAAGGAAACTTCTTATTGCTTTGACAGAAGTGGGTGGTGGTAACTTCTCTATCACATCAACTTTAGCGCGGGCCACTTCAAGGCCCTTACTTGACACTGGGTGTACCAAGACTATACCTTCATGTACCATAAAATGACACTTTTCCCAGTTTAGCACCAGATTAGTCTTCATACACCTCTTCAGCACTCTTCTCAGATTTACCAAGCAATCATCGAACGAGTTCCCCACCACTGAGAAATCATCCATGAAAACCTCCATTATATCCTCTACCATATCAGTAAAGATGGCCATCATGCACCTTTGGAATGTGGCAGATGCATTGCATAGGCCAAACGACATTCTCCGGAAAGCATAGATTCCATATGGATAGGTGAACGACGTTTTCTCCCTATTCTCCGGGGCAATAGAGATCTGGTTATACCCCGAGTATCCATCAACGAAGCGAAAGTGGGACTTCCCTGCCAATATATCTAATATCTGATCAATGAATGGCAAGGGAAAATGGTCTTTTCGGGTGGCCTTGTTCAATCTTCTGTAGTCCATATAGATTCGCCATCCCGTGACTGACCTTGTTGAGATCAAATCGTTCTTGTTTTGCATCACAGTCATTTCACCTTTCTTCAGAACACATTGAACTGCGCTCACCCAGTTGCTGTCTGAGATAGGGAAAAATGATGCCCGCATCTAACCACTTGATTATCTCTTTCTTCACCACTTCTTTCATATTCGGGTTCAGCCTTCTAAGCTGTTCTTTGGAAGAAGAAGGTTTAGCTTCGGTAGATTGTATGACGCTTTTTCTTATCTATTACTCCTCGAGTATGTTTTCAAATCTGGCCTATCCAAACGCCCAATAGTCTCCCCCATAATTCTTTCTCCAATTTCACTTTCCCTGTGATAATGTCATTAAGAGGTCCAATATTGGAACTGGGTAGAATCACCTCTCCCCCTGTAGAGGTGATGAGATAATACCTCTGTTTTAAAAGGCGTTTCTGGGCAAGGCGTACCAAAAACGCCCCGGGGCGATGGCGTGGGGCGAAAGTCTCAAGAGGCGTACGCCCCGCCGGGGCGTACGGCCGGGGCGTACGCCGGGCGTTCAGGGAGCATTTTTTTTAGTAAGGAGTAAGCCCCGGAGACTTTTTCAAATTAAAACAAAATTTGTTGAATTAGTCCTTCATATAATACCCAAATTCTCAAAAATCAGTTTGGTAATTACTCAAAAGGTTTAAAAAGGAACAAAAACGTATTAAATTTAAAAGTAAAGACTTTTTTTATTGATTTAAGCCCTAATTCATGGTTTTTTCAATTTTTTATCTTGTCCGCTAGTCTGCTAATATCTCCCAAAAGCAACGAATATTTAATTTTTTTTACAAATAGAAAGAGAACTACATTTTTCTTCATAGCAGCAAATTCAAAGTTCAAATTGCAGGTTAATCATCCTTTTTGTTCTTCCATATAGAAAACTTTATTCTTTTAGACTCAAATTACTTGTACTTGTAAGTAACGTATAATAGATTGTTTTGATTAGTTTTTTGTGGGGATGGAGCACATATATATATATAGTTTTTTTCAATTTTTATATAATTTTACCTGTTTATAAATATTAAATGTCATTATATTATTTTATAAAATATTAAAAATTAAATACCTATGGGGCTTACGCCCCGCGCCTCGGGGCTTACGCCCCGCTGAGGCATATGTAAAACGCCTTGCCTTACGCCCACGCCTTTTAAAACACTGGATAATACTTAATAAGGCTAAGATTCTCGAAATGTAACATCCATGCTAACAAAAGATCTCCTAGAGGGAGGATGATAACATTTGTGGCCTTTCTGTGTCGGAGAATTCCCAATGAAAACACATTCTATAGCTGTAAGATCAAGTTTTCTAGAATTCCTACTATGGGCAAAGCAAACACGCCCAAACACCGTAGGAGGTACAATATATTCATTCTTACCCTTTAAAGCTTCCAGAGGACTTTGAAAATTGAGGGTTTAAAGTGGCATTCTGTTGATAAGAGAGGCAGCTACTAGAATAGCATCCCCCTAGTAAGGTTTTGGTAGATGCATGGTGAAATATAAGAGATCTTGCTACATCTGATAAATGCCTATTTTTTCTTTCAACGACCCCATTTTGTGCACTAGTATAAGGACAACTAGTCTGATGGATTATCTCATTGGACTCCAAATAAGCACCACATCTTTTATCCATGTATTCGCTACCATTGTCAGTTCTCAAAATTTTTATTTTGGCATCAAACTGAGTACACATCATCTTATAAAATGACTGAAAACAAGAGAAAACTTCACTTTTGACTTTGAACAAATATACCCAAGTCATCCTAGTGCAACAATCAATGAAAATAACAAACCATCGATTACCAGACAAAGAAACAGTTAGTCATAAACGGAATTATGCTTCTATTATCACTCATAGGATAAGAGTTTCTAGTATGCTTGGCATATTCACACGCATCACTGAACAAAGATTCAGATTGAGTCCTTGAGAACAAATCCGGATATAACTTCTTCAAAACAAAGAATGATGGGTGCCCTAACTATTTGTGCCGCTGTATTATTTCTTGGTTGATATCCTTAATTTTCCCAAAAAAGGCCTAACCAGAGTTTTGAATTCCCTCTAATATAAACAAGTCATCACGCAATCTACCACTGCCAATCCTTTTCCATGTTTGAAGATTCCAAAAAATACAATGATCGGGAAAGAACTCGATAGCTCTGGTGATGGTACTAATAGATAAAAGATTGACAGGGAACTCAGGGACATGGATCACAGATAATAGTTCAATATTAGGAGTACAAACGACAGAACCTGAGATAGGTATTAAAGAACCATTGACTATTCTGACATAATCTCGTTTGAGACACGGAGAATAGTTTTGAATGCCTTTAGTAGAGCCATTGCTGCCTTTTGAGGTAAGTTTTTCTCCCTCGCAGCACCGGGATTCCTAATCTCAGAAAGAGGTCGAGTTTTTTCCCGATCATAATGTGTGGTAAAACTGTGGAAAGTGAGGATATATGGTCCACGAAAAAGCAAAGTAGCAATTTTATCCTGTTAGCGTGTGTGTCAGATTTTACTCTCTCTAAGAGAGACTGTAAGATATTCTCCTTTATTTTTCTTTAGTAACAGTTTGAAGATTTGGAAAATATAATTTGAGGAAAAAAGATTAAGATTGTAAGTCAAAGTCTTGAAAATGAAAAAGTAATCGCTGGAGAATGGGGGAATTGAGGATCGCTAGAGAGGGGAATAGGGATGTAAGATGGCTTGATATGGTTTAGCATTCAAGTTAACAAGAAAATAAAAGTAACTTGGTCAATTCTCGCGCTCAAAAATGAGTTGGAGGCATGCATATTGCCATGTCAGATCCGGGTGTCTAAGAGACACATCCCTGCCTCATTGAGGTGTGTAAAGTAAAAGTATCTAATTGGCATGTACCTTTACCGAATAAAAAAAGAGTATCTAACTGCTATTTCGTGTCAATTCTGAGGGGCTATCTGGGTATTTGGCCAAAAAGGACATATGGAGTATTTGATAAAGAGGATATCATTTCATGGTTGAAAACCAATTTGTGTAATTAATTAAATTTCTCAAGGTAATTTAAAGTGTGATAGTATGTTAAGTGTGTCAAACATTGTGTATTATGAATAGAAGAGTCTCATGTAAAACCAGGATTGAGGGAGTAACATTTTGAAATGTAGCACCCAATATATGCGCTGATGTCAGGATCTTTCGTGTAATGTTTCTTTGATTGTGTAGTTGGGTAATGTGTCTTTCAGTATAGGCATGCATATAATGTAGTAATGGCAAAAGTTAACTGCCTTTTCTCAAAATCTTTTTTTCTTTTGAGATCTTTCAGAAATATTCATCGTTGAGGGTGATTCAGCTGGTGGAAGTGCAAAACAAGGTCGTGATCGGCGTTTTCAGGTAACTAAACTCGTTGGTGCTCTGTGAACAGTTATCCCTGTTATTCAGACAATGCTGTAGCTTACAAAAGTGCTGATGGAAGTTCTGCAACCTGATTCCCCACCTGACATCCTCATTGTGGCCAGAAAAGGAAAAAGGAATTGTTCAGCTGAAGCGTGAATAATGCATATTTACATTGGTCAAACATAGATCAAACTTATCTGGAGAAATTGTGCAGCAGAAGTGGCGATTAGAAGACTAATTTCTTACTGCATTCTAAGTTAATGGCATATTCTGACTGCAATGTAAATTATATCAGTTATTCATGTTTTGCAGGCTATACTTCCTTTAAGAGGCAAAATTTTGAATATTGAAAGAAAGGATGAAGCAGCTATGTATAAAAATGAAGAGATTCAAAATCTTATTCTTGGTTTAGGACTTGGAGTTAAGGTACTATGCTCATCTTTTAGGTTTGTGCAATGTGCTGTTTGTTCAGACTTTTTTTTCTCATTCAATCTTCTGCATCTCAGGGGGAGGATTTTAAAAAGGAAGCTCTCCGTTATCATAAAATCATAATTTTAACAGATGCTGATGTCGACGGTGCTCATATTCGAACGTTGTTGTTAACCTTTTTCTTCAGATATCAGGTGCGCCCCTTTCGTTGTTCTTCATGGTCTAATGAAACATCAACTAGAGTTTTTTGCTGGGATCTAACAGTTGAATTATGAAGGGAAATAATCAAGATGTCTAGTTGACTGTTTGGAGAACCTGATTGAGATATTCTTAAATTGTTGCAGAGAGCTCTTTTTGACGAAGGTTGCATATATGTTGGTGTTCCACCTCTCTACAAGGTTTATTTTCTTTCGGATGTTGTCTTAACAGATTATGTTTTTTATTGTCCACCAGGTTTTAATGTTCTATTTGGAATTTTTCAGGTTGAGAGGGGAAAACAAGTATACTACTGCTATGATGATGCAGAACTTAAAAAGGTCCAGCGTTCCTTCCCTTCAAATGCATCATATAACATACAGAGATTCAAAGGTGAGATATGAAAAATGACATGTTTTGGCTTTTTGGATTTGAAGACAGCGTATTCCATATGAGATATGTTCAGTTTGGAATGCATATCCCGATATTATCGAAGAGTTCGCCATACTTTTTAGCCAGCTAAATGAGGGCCCCCAGAACAAATGGCAAAAACCAATTTAGATAACCTTAGGGAGTTTGTGGAAAGAGAGCCTTGCTGCATGAACATTGGCACAAAAAAAGCATTTGCTCAGATTTGGGGCCTTGTATCCTACTCATAGCTTTTGAGGGCAGCATGGCCTCCCCAACTTTTGATGTTGTCTGTGAGAGTTAGACATGGGAAGAAAGAATTTCTTGTATTCATTTGTGTCTTACATTAGCCCTATTTATATAGGGTGTTTACATAGTACTAAACCCTTCTCTACCAATGTGGGACACTATACATACTACTATACACATTAACTCTCTAACCTTCTCTATTGGATGCTTTCTTTTCTATTAATGAATGTGATTGTTGTTTTTAGTGTTTTTTTTCCAGCAATGTCGGATACACTACTTACGCATCTCTTATACATACACATGCAAGGTCTTCTAAACCTCCCTTGTTCAATTCATGTGATGCGATGGAAATATTTTCAGGATTGGGGGAGATGATGCCAGCCCAGCTATGGGAAACAACAATGAACCCGGAGACTAGGCTGTTAAAGCAATTAGTGGTGGAGGACGCAGCTGAGGCAAATGTTGTCTTCTCTTCACTTATGGGATCCAGGGTATGTCTCTTTCTTTTCTGCATGAAGTGTTAGGCTGAATCTTTTCTTATTGGAGCAGACTTAATGCATTTCCTTTTAATAACTATGGTGGATTGTCCATCTCTTTCCACTCTTTTGCTATTGGCTCGCTTTTATTACCCATCTCCCTTTTGGCAAATACAGGTTGATATTAGGAAGCAACTTATACAAAATTCAGCGAGCATGATGAACCTTGAGCAACTGGATATATGAATGTGATGGCAGGGCTTTTGTGGCACTTGATTTTCCGATTCTCCGTGGAAAGCAGACAAGGATTTCAATTACCAGTATTAAGTACCTTGACATGCATCACAGGATCTTGTCCTCTCTTGTTTATTTTTTGCTTTCCATAGTATTCACTCTTGTCCAATGGAATTTAACTTATTTAGTTAGCAATGTAACATAATGGTTGATGTAAGTAATGAGCTCTAGGAATTTGTCCCTTAGTCAATGAGTTGTTGCTGGTCAGACTGATCTACTGATGAGCGATGACTCTCTGTCATTCTCTAGGATATATGAAAGAAGTATGACGTGAGATGATTGACGAAAAATGTAATGCCTCGGGTGAGACGACCTAGCTGATCGGGCCGTGATCGGACGCCATGCCGCACACATGGTGGTAACTGTGCTGGAAATTATAAACTGAAAAAGGTAATGTCTCGGGTGAGATAGCCTAGCCGATCGGGCCGTGATTGGACGCCATGCCGTACACATGGTGTTAACTGTGCTGGAAATTATAATGAAATTGTGGTTATGGTTGATGTCTCAAATGAGACGGCCTAGCCGATCGGGCCGTGATTGGACGCCATGCCGTACACATGGTGTTAACTGTGCTGGAAATTATAATGAAATTGTGGTTATGGTTGATGTCTCAAATGAGACGACCTAGCCGATCGGGTTGAGATCGGACTCCGTGTAAGAATACAGAGGTATTGTGAATTGTGGAGTATCGGCACTAAAGATCACCCAACCTAATAACATGGAAATTGACTTGAAAACTTATGTGATCCTTAACTTAATGTTTTAATATTATTTGAAGCTCGTATTGAATCCTTGACTGTTTCCCTTGTATTATTATTCATTCTATTGAGATGATGTTAAGCTACACATACTAGTGCTATTTGACGGTACTAACGTCCCTTTGCCGGGGGCGCTGCATCTTTAAATGGATCCAGGTGGTTACATAGCAGGCAGTGTTGATCAGCGTTAGTGGCACATCCTTTTCCCAGCAGACTTGGTGAGCCCCACTTCATTCCGGGGTCACGTATTGTATCTTTTGATCATTTTACTATCGCATCTCAAAGTATAGCCGGGGCCTTGTCGCCGGCACTATCATAGACTCTTTTGTATCTTTTAGAGGCTCAGTAGACACTATGTGGGTTGTATATGTGTGTTGGAAATGTTAAACAAGTTATGTTAGTGTTTGATCACTTGTTCCACTCAGGCTATAAGAATATGTGTATTTTGAGACTTAAAGGCGAAACAGCTAATAAAACAGTTTAATATTGTATGTATGAACTTTCCACTGTCTTTTTTTTTTTTTTATTTAAAATCATGGGTGAGTTGGGTAGAAAGTATTTAACAGGCTTGCTTGATCGGGTTCACTTGGTTGAGCGTCGGTTGCGCTTCCGAGGTTGGGATGTGACGGTTGAGTGCCGGTCGCGCTTTCCGAGGTTGGGGCGTGACAAGTCCGCCATAGACACCAAATATGACTTAACTCTTCATTCACACACCAAGAGTTCCAAATTTGGCTAACTCCTCAAATTTTCAAACATTTCGACAGAGTGTCTTTTGTTTTTGGACTTATCCACATGTCAAAGAGCCCAGAAAATACACCTAACAACATATTCATAATACAACAATGCAGCATAGCACGAAAACAACACCAATTGTAACATCATAAGCATTGTATTGCCAAAAGGATGCATCTTAGCATAAACTGTACAAGTTGAACATAACTCATAGTAAATAAACTTCTATCATTCCTTTAAACACAACTATTTGTTTACACAAACAAATGAGGGTATTTTCTTTTCATTTCTTCCTCGGCCTCCCAGGTGGCCTCTTCAACTTGTTGGGTTCGCCATAGCACTTTGACAGAGGCAATGTCTTTTTTCCTTAGCTTTCGAACTTGTCTATTAAGGATGGTAACCGGGATCTCCTCATAAGACAATTCTTCATTAACTTCAATAGTATCTACCAGGACGATGAATGACGGATCTTCAACTACTTTCTTCAACATAGACACATGAAACACCAGGTGCACTAAGGACATCTTTTGAGGTAACTCAAGCTTAAAGGCCACTAGACCAACCCTCTGTATGATTCTGTACGGTCCGATATACCTTGGACTCAATTTCTTTTTCTTCCCAAATCGCATTATACCATTCATGGGAGAAACCTTTAAGAATACCCAATCATCCTCATGGAACTCCAAATCTCTACGACGCACATCTGAATAGGACTTCTGGCGACTCTGGGCAATTTTCAACCGCTCCTTAATGATGTTGACCTTCTCCATAGCCTGATGTATGAGGTCTGACCCTATCAATTCTGCTTCTCCAACTTAAAACAAACCAATGAGGGATCTATATCTCCTATCTTATAGAGCTTCGAACAGTGCCATTTGAATGCTGGTGTGATAGCTGTTGTTGTAGGCAAATTTGATGAGTGGCAAATGATCATCCCAACTACCCTTGAAGTCAAGAACACAAGCACGCAACATATCCTTAAGTGTCTACTTGCCTATCGGTTTGTGGATGGAAAGCTGTATTATGATTCACGTGAGTACCCAAACAATGCTGAAATTTCTGCCAAAAGTTAGCGGTGAATTGTGCCCCTCGATCATGAGATGATAGAAACTGAAGTGCCATTCAACCTAACGATCTCTTTGGTATACAACTGAGCCTAGTGTTCTGTTGTGTTGATTGCCTTAACAGGCAAGAAGTGTGCTGATTTTGTGAGTCAATCCACAATTACCCAAATCGAATCAAACTTACGAGGCGTGCGAGGTAGACCTACTACAAAGTCCATATTGATCATCTCCTACTTCCACATTGGAATTTCTATATTTTGTGCCAAACCACCAGGCTTCTGGTGCTCGGCCTTCACTTCCTGACAATTTGGGCATCTAACCATAAAATCCACCACATCCTTCTTCATGTCTTTCCACCAATAGACTTCCTTGAGATCATGGTACATCTTCGTAGAGCTTGGGTGCACGGAATACTTGGAACTGTGAGCCTCGATCATGGTTCTCTCCCAGAGAACATCTACATTTGGAACACACAATCACCCTTGGTACCTTAGCATACCATCATCCGTGCTAAGAGAAAAAGTCGTGGTTTTGTGTTTATGAATTCCTTCAATTGCACCAATAACAGATCATCATATTGTTTTACCTTGACTTCTACTATGAGTGATGACTCGGCCCTATATTGTATAATCACCCCACCTTCGCTGAAGTCCGCAAGCTGAACTCTCAGACCAGCCAACCAGTGAACTTCCTTGGCCAACGGCCTTTGGTGTGCCTCCAAGTGGGCCGAACTACCCTATGCAACGAATATGCGGTCCGCAAGACAAATCTGTGATCGCACTTTGGATTGTGTAATGACCCTCAAAATTAAGTTGCTCCTGATCCACTCTGGCGACGGTTCTGCGGTCAGCGAAACAGATCTGCAGTCGCATTATGGACAACAGAAACGCCATATTCTGTAAATTTTCCATAAAACCTTAAATCTTTGGCGAACTTTACGGGGCCTTGCAGCTGGAGCTGTTGAAAGATTATGATAGCACTATTCTTTATCATCCGAGGAAGGCTGATGTGTTAATAGACGCCTTGAGCAGAAAGGCAGAAAGTATGGGAAGTTTAGTATTTATTCTAGCTGGGGAGAGGCCTTTAGCCATGGATGTTTAGGCATTGGCTAATGGATTGGTGAGATTGGATATTTTGGAGCCGAGTAAAGTCCTTGCGCGTGTTGTTTCACAGTAATCTTCGTTTGAGCGCATTAAGGCTCGCCAGTATGACGATCCCCATTTGCTTGTCCTGAAGGATATGGTGCAGCACGGTGGTGCTAAGGAGGTGACTGTTGGTGATGATGGTGTATTGCGACTTCAAGGTCGTATTTGTGTTCCTAACGTCGATGGCTTGAGAGAGCTGATTCTTGAGCATGCTCATAGTTCACGGTATTCTATATATCCAGGTGCTACAGAGATGTATCGTTATTTGAAACAACATTAATAGCGGAGAAGGATGAAGAAGGACATTGTTGGACATGTTGCACGGTGTTTGAACTATCATCAGGTCAAGTATGAGCATCAGAGACTGGGTGGTTTGCTTCAGAGATTAGAGATACCGGAGTGGAAGTGGGAGTGCATCACTATGGACTTTGTGATAGGATTTCCAGGAATCTTAAGGAGATTTGATGTTGTTTGGGTTATTGTGGACAGACTGACCAAGTCTGTGCATTTCATTCCGGTCATGACTTCCTACACATTAGAGCAGTTGGCTAAGATCTACATCAGGGAGGTTGTCTGCTTGCATGACGTGCCTTTGTCTTCCATCTCAGATCATGGCACTCAGTTTACATCGCACTTTTGGAGAGCCGTGCAACGTGATTTGGGCATGCATGTGGAGTTGAGTACATCATTTCACCCTCAGACAGATGGGCAGTTCGAGCGGACCATTCATATCTTGGAGGATATGTTGAGAGCCTGTGTTATTGATTTCAGTGGCCAGTTGGATAAGTTTCTACCATTAGTAGAGTTTGCATACAATAACAACTACCAGTCAAGTATCCAGATGGCTCCGTATGTGGCCTTATATGGGAGGCGATATCGTTCTCCGGTTGGTTGATTTGAGTCTGGGGAGGCTAGGTTGTTGGGCCCTAATTTGGTTCGTGATGCTTTGGAGAAGGTAAAATTAATTCAGGAGTAGCTTCATACAACATAGTCTAAGCAAAAGAGTTATGCTGATAGGATGGTTCGTGATGTGGCTTTCATGGAGGGTGAGAAGGTTCTTCTCAGAATTTCTCCTATGAAGTGCATGATGAGGTTTGGGAGGAAGGGCAAGTTGAGTCCTCGGTATATCTGTCCATTTGAGGTGTTAGAGAGGGTTGGTGAGGTGTCTTACCGACTTTCTTTGCCACCGAGCTTGTCGAAAGTTTATCCAGAGTTTCATGTCTCCATGCTTCAGAAGTATTATGAGGATCAACCACATCTGTTGGATTTTATCTCGATGCTGTTGGCTGAGAATTTGGCTTATGAAGAAGAGCCTGTGGAGAGGTCGACTAGTTGAGGAGGCAACTTAGGAGATCGATCATGATATGCAGAGCAGAAATCCTCATCTTTTCGGCACGCCAAGTATGATTTTAGACACCATTCGAGGACGAACGTTTGTTTAAAAGGGGGAGAATGTGATGACCCAGCTGGTCATTTTTTATATTTGAGCCGTGTTCTCATATTTGATG